CTATGGTTGATTAGAGTTCTAAAATCTTTCAAAATGGTTCTTCTTTACAATGTTACTGTGCCAATCTTTCTCCTGGTTCTGCTTAAGTCTACATCAGTTCATGCAAGTCTTCCCAGGTTTCTCTGAAAATTTCCCCTGACACGGACTATTTTTCAACACAGGGGGATGAGGAGAGGTGAACAGTTACGGACAATAATCCCATACTTCCAGTTTCCACACTGCACCGTCCCATGGCCTCAGGGAAGTTAAGCAACTTGCTTCAGGTTACATAGCTGGTGTCTGAAGGTGGGATTCAAATCCAGATCTTCCTTTGAACTCAAGTAAGCTCAATTTGAGTTGGCCAAATCTGGTTTGTGGCAAGGCTTTAGAACTCCCATTTAGGAACGAATACCTAGGGAGAGAAGGTGGCTGAAAGGGCAGTGTAGATTGAAGAGGGCTGGGCTTGGAGTCAGAAGGCCTTGTCTTAGCACTGACTGGGTGCACGGCTGGCCCCGGACAAATCACTGAATTTCTCTGAACCTAGGTAAAATGGGGGTGATGATAATACCTAACCTATCTACCTCACAGAGCAATTGTGAGAAAACTGCTTGGTAAACATGGAAATATTACATAAATGTGAATGATTGCTATTTCAAGTAGCCTCGAATGACCTTTATAAACTGGGGTAGGAAATGCCCAGATGGTCAGCAGAGATTCTGTGGCAGAAGACCCCCATTATGCCTATTTTACATAAAATAATGGCCCTAGAAGGGGAGAAGAGGCAAGTGCTATTGTCCTCAGGGTTCCTCCAACCCTGCCCTTGGGTCAGCATAATTCACCCCCCCCCCCCCCCCCATGTAAGTGACAATAAGAGACAGCACTCCAAATGGCATTTTTTCCTTTAATTCCTGAGATAAAAATCAAAAAGGCAAAAAGCATGAAGCACCCCATATGATGCAGTGTATGTATTGCTAATAAACGAATATACTTTAGTGACAAAAATCTCTCACCCCACTTCTAGGGGTTGGGGTGGTGCCCAGCTTTTCTTAGGCAATTCTTTGGCAGATGCCACTGAATCAGGAGTCCAAACAAGATGCAGGATGAGGCCAGATCCGCTGAAGGTTGGTCTCACTAAGTATAATTCCAACTTTCAAGCTGCAGATTTCAAGATCTGCGTGCTTGCTCTTTAGTGTCGCCAAAGGTCCAAGTGCCCCTTTGAATGACGTGTGGCTAGGCCTGGAGGGGGCCTTGCCCTGGTTAACCTATCAGATACGGAAACTTTTTTTTTTCTTTTAAAGAATTATTAGAAGACCAAAGAACATGCAGTGAATTCAGTTTTTCCTGCCTTTTGGAAGAACCCCATGAGAAACAGTGAAATAGAGCAAAGCCCAGTGAAGATTTCACAAAGAAAAAGTAGGGGTTTTTTTTGACACCAATTCATCTATGACTGATCTCATTTGATCACTAAGCATCTGTCTCTCACTCTAGGACCCAGATCAGGTGTCACCTTAGCAGAAAGGCTTCTGTTTTCTATTCCCCACCCCCAGTGACCCTGGGATAAAATGGACCTTGGAAGGACATGCTGTTAATGCTCCCTCCCTCCTCTGTGGACATATAGTATCACTTAGTTCACCTTAAGCTTCCCGAGGGCAGGAACTGGCTCATTTTTGTCTTGTACCTCCAGTGGCTAGCACGGTGCCTTGGGTAGCTGAACAGAATTTAACATCGATGGGCACCAAAGCTTAGATTCTTAGCATAGAGGATATGACTGACATTTCTACACGAAACCACAAAGGGCTGTAACAAGGCAAATGTAAGTCACATCTCAAAAGTGTGGCTTTTCTATCAAAATAAAAGTGGTTTCATTTCATCAAGAATTTGCCTTTGACACTGTTTGCACCTCATGCTTTAGCCATCTTTGTCACATTTTCCTAGCATTTGGAGTATGACCTATATCCAGGAGCACTGCTAAGTAATAGGACTGATGACCCTAGGTGAGAGGAAAAAAAAATCAATCTTATTATTTCATATTCACACATTATTGTCCTTTTCCATTTTTAAAGCAGTATTGCTTAACTAATTCTCAGGTTTCTAGATAAGAATAAATAAAAACGGGGAAAGGTTTTGCTTAATCTAATCTTTCTGAATCACAAATGCTATAATCATAAAGTGCTTTCTCAAGTATGTACTTAGAGACAATTTTTTTCAACAATGAAAAACACCAACTGGTTTATACCAGAATATGACTGGATAAATCTGACCTGATTCTTGGAGTTGTGCAATTTAACTAATGGTCTCAGGACAGTGGCTATCCAAGTAACCTAGGACCTATAAAACTAAGTTATCTTTCTCCTGGATGCCTGCCAATTAAACGCTGCCCTTCTTTTAAAATTTGAAATTCCAAAGATGCTTCCCATTGGATTATTTTTCGTCAATGGGTTACAGCCAGAGTTAAAATATTCAACAGCTCTCAGTTATACAACAAAAACTAAAACCCACCACATCTAGTGAAATTGGCAATCTAGCCGTAAACTAAAGTAATGCAGTTTAGAGCTGTGCCTAGATGTAAGAGCTGTCTGTGCATAGTGTTATAGTGTTTCCAATCTTAGGAATCCATTAAAAAGCTAACCTCTGAAGAACCGCCTTATTGAAAGCGCAAGACGTGTTTAGCAGAGAAAAATAAAGGTGTGGCTACAAGTAGAGTTAGTGAAATGACCACGGCATGATCTGGGCAGCCCACTGAATGCAATAAAGTGACATTCATTTTCAATCTGATTGTCCATCTATGAGAATAGTAAAAATTCTATGCCTCCTCTGTGACTGACTTCCCCAGAAGCAATGAATTGGAATTTTTTGGTTTGTTTTTTTAAAAATCTAGAACAGGTCCTCCTGCTACAGTCTATGACAGCAAGACGCAATGAATCTCAGTGGGAAAGACATATTCTAATACCCACCCCAAAGACTTGGATGGAGCAGAAGTCTGTAAATATGTGCTGGTGGCAATGCTGACGATCACAACAAGGTTATCAGCTAGGGGGTCAGGCCCCCCAGCTGAGGCTCCTGAAGTGGCACCGGCGTCCTAGATATAAGTGGTTGCCCCAAAGAGAAAAATCAAGTTATCTGAAGGTTGACTTTTCAATTTTTGGCTTCTCTCAGCAATGCTGCCAACCCTTGATTCTTCACGGCAATGGGGGAGGATGGCCCACGACGTCAGCACTGGAGCCAAGAGTTTCAGATACCTTCTCTGAGGATCCTTTTCTGGGGGCCGGAGTGAGGTTCTATCTAGTGTCCATGTTTTTCTTTCCACCCTCTGACAGAAGGTGGAAGGTAACTGAAATGGCTCCAAAATGGGCAACTAGAAGCTGCCATCAGCCCTGAATCATCTTCCCGATAATATTGTGATAAAAAGTGTTCAATGAAAACAGATGTGAAGCTGGGCCCCATCATGCTGATGCTTTCCCAAACTTCCTTCCCACCTCACGCTTCTTCTCCCGGGTCCCCATACTTCTTCCCTCTCTTCTCCTCCACTTCTTCCAAACCCTGGAATGAAGAGCGCCGCTGTTACTCCTTTCCCAGCTGAGAGCATGAGTCAATTGGCTTTCTGCTCCTGTAGGTTGATGCAAGGTGGGTCCTCTGAGCCCCCAGTCCATCACTTTTTCCAATACTTTTTCTCTTCCTTAGGACTAAAGCATGCTCTTCCTTCAGGAGCACCCCATCTCAGGAAGCACCTGAAGTCTGAGGGACAACAAATGACCGTGGAAAAGACAGTTCAGGAAGTATAGGTAGAAAAGGACACAAGCAAAGATGGTGCCCCATGTTTGGGAAGAGGCCACAGTATCATATGGAAAAGATACAGTCATTCTCTTCAAGAAGAGAGAAGCGTGTGGTATGAGAGGAGTTCTTTAAAAGGCATGAGACGGGGACAAAAGGAAAAAAAAAGTGGTTTTGCAAATGACATGCCCTATATATGTGTCAGGGCTAAAGAGTAAATCAGGGAATAAAAATGCAGTCCTCTACATAATAACAAAACATCCTCTACATTTTCTGTGGGCCACCCGAAATCCTTTGGCGGGCTGCACGTTGTATAGATCTGATTATACCGATGATTACACTTCTGTTCTCAAAGAAATACTCTTTAAAAAACGATTTCTTTTGAAATCAGAACTATGCTTTGGTTATAGTCATCCGTAAATGAAAATGTGTTTGTATTTCCATAAACACATTTGCATTTAGTACCAGGGAGCCAGTTTCAGTTAAGGGAAAAAAAAAGTTTTGGTGCCAAAGCCTCTGCTCAAGGCAAAACGTCTTCTTGGGTCCTCCAAAAACAGTAGCCAGAAGGAGAGATGCACAACGTCAAATAAACATAAGCCTTTGCTCTTTTTCTTTCCCATCACAGGCATCAGCAGGCATGTGTTTAATACGAGAATAGCTGCTGATTGGGACTCTGGCTCAGACAACCTGATCATTTGCTTGTCTTCACGACCGACATTCGTGTCTGTGACCACGTCTGTAATGGGGTGACTCTACCTCCCATTTGTTCAGAAGGTCGAGACTCACAGGCCAATTGTGCAGTTACCGGGTTATTCAAGGAGATTAGACACAATCAGAGGGAGGCTTGGGAAGGAGGACAGCAGGGACAGGTCCCTCAGGGGCAAAGCTGAGCGTCGGAGAAGCCCCCAATCTGGGGGGGCAAGGAGAGGGAGACCGAGCATTCACAAGTCTCCCTTTCACGGTATCCATGTGAACGTCAGAGTGGAAGCTTCCTGAAGGCAGTCTTTGCCCATAGCTGGTGTTTAACAAATGGCTGCTCCTATCTCACGGCAATCGTTTTGATGACTACCTTGCATGATTCATTTCCTTGAGTATTAGCTGGTGTTTAAAAGGAGCTTACCATCCTCAGACTACAGCATCATGCCGAGGATGGCGATGGTGACGGACCGCTGCTGATCACTGCCACAGGCAGTGTGTCTCTCTTCGACCCACTCCAACAGTTAGGATGACCCACCCATTCCCCGCCCCCTCCCCCCAGGTTTTCTCCCACCCCAGCTTTTTAAAACAGGCGCCCTCCTGGTTTCTTGGGTATAAACAACAGCAGGTATAAAAAACAGCTGCCCAGAGAGGAGACAATCTCTTTTAAGTATCCAAGTATTGCAAACTCAAGTGAATCCCTCTGGGAAATTCACATTTGTTGGGTGTTAATCTTAAGCCCCCAAAAGGCTGTGGCTGAGGTCCTTAAATATTAGAAGAGATAGATCTCTGGGCTGTAGCAAGCTGTACAAGCCAACAGCCATCTGTACACAGTACAGAGCAGAGTGTTCCTAGACAGCGGAAGCTTCCAGGGAGGACGCCCGAGATGCTCCAGGTTTAAAACTGTGCGGGTCAGGGGCTGCCAGGCTTTCTTTTCTTTAGTGTTTATGTGATACATAAATAAGAGTAGTGTTTCCGTGGATAAAGTGAAGCTGTTAAGATCACGGGGGTTCGAATCTATGGGAAATCGGTCCCGTCGTAGGTCACAGGCCAGTCAACTGTCAGATGATAAAAGACTTTTTTGGAGATGAACCTGCAGGACGTACAAAGAGAAAAGCACGCTGTTAGTGATGGCCCAGCAGGCCCACGAGTGACTGCCAGCTGTTTCAATGGGCATGGCTTTCACTGGGAGCCAGTATCAGCAACAAGAGGGCAAGGATCTTGCTGCCACATGCGACCAGGCTACGAGTCAAGTCTCCGTGAGGAAGCAAGGGTTCCACTGCTCATAGCAAACAAACCTTTTCATAGTGTACCACTCTTAATTACCTCAAATGAGATAGCATGTCAAACACTACAAATGCTAGTTATTATCATCACAGAAAAATGACTCTAGCCGTGTCCTCCCTGGCCCACGGACGAATCCTCTACCTTCACATGGGTTGTAAAGTTGCATGTTCCCAGAGGAACACGGGAACTCACCAGCCCCCATTAGACTGAGCTGGACCGAAGCCTTTTGATGAGCACCAGGAGCATAGAGTCCCCACCAGCACTCATCACCACAGCCCCTCCCTCTACATTAGAAATGAAAATATAATCCCCACGGAGGAAAGATGGAAGGCTAGTTGTGAATCAGCCTGGGGAGCTGAATCAGGGAATGTGTCTAAAATACTCTTCCCCACAGCTCTTTTGTGAACAACTCTCCATTCAACTATGGAAGCAGAGGTTTAGGCCTGGTGTTGGCGACCTGTGGTACACATACACACCAGAGATGATTTTTTAAAAAAAGTCATATGTGGGTACCAGGGCCTTCCCAAGAAGAAGCCATCGGGTTTCCCATTCCTGCTTAATTCCTGCTAAAGAATTAACTGATGCCTGAGGTATTAGTTTAAAAGGGCTTAAGGAGTGGCCCCTTCCTGGGGTATCTGCATTTTTGAAGGCCAAAGATCATTTGGGAGGAGAAGAGGGAGGAAAGCTTGGGGTCTTACTATCCTCTCACTACTGGCTATTACCCTAGCAGAGCTGGAGCATTTAATTATGGCAGTCTAAGGCTGAAGGGAGTCTCCCCCCTGGGGTGTAGAACCAAAGATGTCTGTGCTAAAATCTAGGCTCATTAGGCAAGGTCCCCCATCCTTTTCCTTCCCCCTGTGAGAGAGAAAACAACTCAAGCTTGGCACATCATTTTGGGAAGGTTGCCAGCCCTTGATTTAGGCATTCAGGAAATAGAAAAGTAACATGAACTGTCCGGATCTCATGTAGCGGCCAAGAGGGGAGGTGGTCACCCCAACTCCTGGGCCTGATCATGACCCTTTGGGAATGTGGATGTCCCAGCTGTGCAGGGGTGAGGAGGCACCTTGCAGCCCCCGATTTTGAGCCTTCCATACAGCCTCGGTGCAGTTTCATCTCAGGTGTCACCACTGGGGCCGCACAAGTTAAGAATGCCTTCAATATTTCCCAGTGAAAAAACTTCACCCACCTCGAGAAGGTGTTGTCGAATATCAGGATGTAAATCCCTGGGTTCCTGACCTTCAGCTGACCTTTGATGTTCTCCCGGTGGGAATTGCAACGGATCATGGGAATTAGAACCTGAAAATCAAACCAGAGGAGATACGACATGCCAGTTTCAGAGCTGGATGATGATACGGTCTAATGCTTTCATTTTAGAGATGACAGGTGTGAAGCTGGAACAGGGTTTCCTCAAAGACCATCTAGTCCACCCCTCATATCCTATGTATGAGGAAAGGCTAGAAGGCAACACAGCTTGGACTAGGAAGTCGGTTTCCTAACCCCCAATCCAATGTACTTTTCACCCTTTCAGTGATCAATGGAAGGGTGAAACCATCCTTCTCCTAAAACACAGCTACCAGGGGATTATTGCTCTAAGGAAGGAGTGGGGATAGAGATGCTAGGCCAAAACACCAACTTTATTTACTCTGAAGTTGAGGCCCAGGGCAGGGCAGGTTTGTTGAATTTAATGTGGAGATTATACTTGTCCAACCTACAATAAGAGACTGAGGCAGAGCTCTGAGCCAACGGCACTTTATCAAAGGGTCCATGGTCCCAAATGAAGTGGACCTAGATCTTCCTCATGATCTGAGATAGGACCTAGTATTTATAGAGTTTGATACCCAAATATGCCAAAGAGGCATAGTAAAACACAGAATCTCACTGGTTGATAGACCTTGCTTGAGGGCCAAAAATGACATATTAGCAGGGTGGGGAGGGAGAATCATAGGTTGGGTGAAGTATGGGGCATCTTCACTAAGTGGTCATAAGATGGTCACCTGCTCGTGTCATGAATAAATTGGAGAACTTTTCATGTAGTTGGGTTCACCTTTGCCACACTGGGCTTGGTCACCACGACAAAAAAAACCAAGGGTAGAGGGCCTCTAGTTAACCTCTATGATTAAGCAAGTGAACTTACAATCTGTAGCTCAAAGCTCTGAAGCATAATATACAGAGCTTATAACCACTACCCTTCTAGAATCATATCAAACTGACTAATGCTGATTGGGATAGAGTAGGGGTCCAAGTGGATTATTCCTCACATTTCGATCCCCAGTCTTTCCGTGGATCGTTACAATCGAAATGCAGGGAGGGCAATCCTCCATGAGCGATGCAAAACCAGTAGAGGGGAAGATCCCACACTGAGGTACCATGGTGACATGAGTAAAGAGGGAAAATGGGCACAACTTGTAACACACTATGTTTCATTTGATTACACATCAACTCAATAATATACTAAATGTAATAGATGTCTGAGGGGACACTCTTGCTAACCAAGAACCATGAGAGACAAATACCTAACAAACCACGTCCCACATGACATGAAAATTGGGGGACCACAGAGCATTTGTTCAAGTGCAGCAACGCCAGCACCATCTGCCCGACATGAAAACGACTCAAACCATTCTGACAACCACGCTCCTCATTCTGGTGATGAGAGGCAATGCCCCGGCAGACAACACAAGCAGGTCTAGATGGCCGTAGCACAGGGAGTGGAGGGAAATAAGAAATAGGGTGAGCCCCGTGAACAACGGAATTCTCGGTCACTGTCGTCAGTGCTGGAGCGAAGGCCAAAGCGGAGGATTCAAGGTTCCAGTCACTGCAGGCTCAGGAACCATCCGTGGAGGGAATGGTGGTGATGAAGGCGTCGCGCTCCCTCGTCCCATCTCAAACAGCTGTCCAGTCTCTGAAACATCCTCTGATGCAGTCCTGTGGTCCTCTGGAGATCTCTCCTCTTAGGAATGAATAGTGGAATGAGTGGGGCTTCAGAGCGGCTTCTGGTGGATTTACATCTCCAGTTCAGGTCACTTGCAGAGAGCCCCTTCTCTGTTAAACAATCTCTTACAAAATAGATCTTAATACAATTCTCGTTCGCTACGACCATAATAACCAGGTCAGGTAGTGAGAGCCAGGTCAAACCTTAGTAGCACTAATATGAACATTACTAGAGCAGAGAATTTACGTTTTCAGGTTGGCAAATTCAAATAAGAACCGAAAAATTAAAAAATTCTGAACCCAAATTTTATATTTGGCATATATAATTACCTAATCTTGTTACAACTCTTTATTAAAACCAACTGAAAAATTATCACTACAGCTAATTTTCTTTTAGGTGCTCATCCTTCCCCTAGGAAGATGATATTTTGCTAGGGAATTATTAACAGAACAATTTTTTTTTTTTTTTTACAATGATGACCCTTGATATACAACCAAATTCATTTAAAAGTTGCCAAAATAATTTCAATTGTAGCAAAAAGTTCTGGGATAGGATGTATAAACAGATAGAGTACTCAACTTCAAGACGGTGCATGTCAAATTATTTATAATAAAACACGTTTGCCTTTCAAGATATGCTCAACATTCAGGTGGTAATAATAAACCCAAATAAAATTGGAAACATTCTTTTCTTCAAACTGAAGCTGAAGAAGTTTCTGTTTTAGGCTTAATAATCAATAGAACAACAATTTGGTCCCATAAACGGTTTCATCAATACCAAACTATCCTTACGTTAATTTTAGGAAGAACAAAAATTTTGGGCTAAATAACTCAAATCTTATCTCCAGTATTCATCTATGGAAAATTGAAAAAGGAGTCTTTGTCTCTCTTAATATGATTACATAGATGGTTCAAACAATTTCTGACATGTAAAATTCTTAATCCAATTTTGAAAATTTTGTCATATCTCCCACTAATCATATCATCATGATGAAAGAACTTTATAGGGTGGTCTCTTATAAATTAAATAACTCACCAATTATAAGGCTTCAGGGTCTCTATTATTTGTGACTCAATTGACAATTGAAAATGATCCCTCACTATGCTACCATGTATAACTTAATTAAAAGTCATCAACAGGGTTCATCTTCTTTTACACTTGCCTTATCAATGGAATTTGCTATTTGAGGAGAAAGGCAGGGACACGGCAGCATTAGCTCCGTTTGACTTCAGGTATGAGTCATAGGCAGCCAACCATATGACAGGATGTCATAGCCAGCCTCAGAATTAACCAGATGGGAAAATTTCTTCTTCACCAAGATGGGCATAGGTTAAGAGAATCCTATACCTTCCCCTTCGCGAGGTCATTCTCTCAACTTTCCCACACGTGGCAATCCTCAGACTGAAGGACACACGGCACTTCCCTTGAATGGTGAACCAGCAGCTTTGTGAAGTATCAGACACTTTTACCTGGATTCAAGACTAAGAAAAACAGCAAATGACGTCCCAAGAGACTCTGCCTCAAACAGCAAAATTTCACTAAGTATAGCTTAGAGCTAGATAACTGCTATTTCTCTCATATATTAGCCTCAAATTTTCATGGAGAATTTTTTAAACTATTCACAAATTTCATCTATTCACAACTATCACCCTCCCACCTCCTTGGTCTGCAGATAAAGCCAAAGGGAGATCAGAGTATTTCAAGAATACAACAGGATGAGAATGAGATTCCCCCAGCAGAGTTCACATAGACAAGTGGGTCATACTGGGCACAATTTCAAGGACTGACTTGGACACAATAATAATAATCTTCTTCTTCTTCTTCTTCTTTTTTTGCTTTTTAGGTGTTTTTTTTTTTTCCTTCTGTAAATGCTCTAAGAGGGGTACAAGCTAAGAGATGGCCATCGCTGGATGTGACTTGAAAGGCCAGCTGATTAAAAGCTACCTAAGTTGGACAAGTGACTGTCATGCACGCTGCCCCTGGGGTGGTGTCTGGAGTAACCCACTCTTGCTTAATTAAATCTATTATCCCTTGTGTGCCACAATGACACCCCCTTCCCCTTTCCCACGTAAAAAAGTGTATGTGGTGATAGAAGTTCTGGGGAAGAATGGTTGCTCTTTCTGGGTCACTCAGACTCAAGAGGCCCGTTTAACCTTGTATTTCTGTTTCCATTTCTTCACCACAAGTTCGTAGTTGGTTCAAAATAACACCATTAAAGATGAGGCCTTGTTTCCTAAAAAGGCAGTGCAGCTGAGTTTCACACCATTCTGTCAGTGGGGCTCTTCCCAAAGACCCTCACAGATAAAGATCACCTAAGAGGATTTTACCATGTTTTTCTCCCAACAGTTAAGTCATTTATTATTATTATTATTATTGTTCTCCGGGTTTTTTTTTTTACACAAAATATACCAATAGATATATTTCTAATATAACAGTATTCAGACTAAAAAGGGGAAGAAACTTGTTTTAACATCTTCTCAGACATTCTGTATTGAAAACATCACCAATCAAATGATAATAATCTAGTTAAATACCTTTCAAACTTACCAATTGATAGAAAGTCATTTATCTTATTACTCTGGGCATTTTCATACTAATCATAGTAGTTTGTGTAGTGCCCACCACAATGCCAGGCTTTTTCCATGTCTTAAAAGTTGCATAAGCCTGTTTTTAATAATTCAAAATTCAAAATGTTTAGTCTATAATTTCCCAATTTTATTAACATTCCATGCCAATTAGAAAAGGCACCTATAAATGGGATAGCATTTTGCTCAGCTGTATTCCTACAAGGTCTGAACACCACAGTGCTCCTCCTTTACACAAGCCCGGCACTGTGTTAAGCACTTCACAATTACGGGTTTCTCCCAACAACCCTGGGAGATACGAGTGAATATTTATTATTCCCTTTGTACATATAAGGACTTGTTAGATTCTCTAATTTACTAACATTAGAATATTTTCAACCCAATCAATTTTGATTTATACTGACTAGTGGTAATAAATAAACTTCATTTTGCACAAGGTTCCACTATTTTCAGTTGGCTTATATTCAAAATAATTCATGGTGACACTCCCAATTTCCCATTATTGCTTCTTGGTTTTTTTGAGATACCCAAAGAGCCAAACCAATTCCTTTACATTTTCTGAATGGCTAATCTTTCAGCATGACTATTTAAACCAGGGCAAAGAGATAATCCTTTCTCTATCAATCAATTAACATGCATTTTATGAAACATATTTTATAGACTTATATTGATTGGGGAAGGGAGACTGCAGCAACCATGAAAGCGGCATTGCTTAAAAAATATTCCTAAATCTTTTCTATTTCAGTGAGATTAAGACCCTCTCTGAAATCTCCTTTTCA